TTGGCACAAGGTTGGCAATGCCAAAGTCACAGGGCAACAGCTGGGTGTGACTACAGCTTCCAGAAGGATTTCCGTGGGGTTCTTGCCAAGGGAAACCCCTGGGGCAACCCAGCCTATGGCACCACTGCAGAACTGGTGAGTCAAGAGGTGACAGCAGGTGGCAAAGCATCAAGTGAGGAAGCTCAATGCAGCTGAAGATAGCCAGAGTGGGCACCTGCAAGCGCTGCTGCCACGGGGTGCTGCAACGTGCCTTGTACCCCCAGACCCATCCCAACGGGAGCTCCCTCCAGATGTGTCCCCAGCCCAGGGACACATCTGGACATGGAAAGAGCCAACCCCGTTCCCCAGGGCTGCAGCACGCCCAGCCCGACAGCCCCTCGGCTTCTGTTGGCACAAGGTTGGCAATGCCAAAGTCACAGGGCAACAGCTGGGTGTGACTACATCTTCCAGAGGGATTTCCGTGGGGTTCTTGCCAAGGGAAACCCCTGGGGCAACCCAGCCTATGGCACCACTGCAGAACTGGTGAGTCAAGAGGTGACAGCAGGTGGCAAAGCATCAAGTGAGGAAGCTCAATGCAGCTGAAGATAGCCAGAGTGGGCACCTCAAGCATTGCCCTTCCTGATGCTCACCTCATCACCGCCTTGGGGACAACGGTGCCAAACGACCCCCCCATGTGCTACGACGTCCCAGTCTGCCCAGCTCATGGGGGTTTAGAGCACCCAGCCTGCCCCAGCAGGGTGAAACCTCCAAGGAGGCACACGTGGGAGGGGAGGGAAGGATGCTCACCCAGCCCAGAGCTCGGCCGCCCTTGGCTCACGTGTGCCCTTCCCGTGCCTTTGTTTCGGTGCCGAAATGCAAATAAGGAAGAGGCTTTTCCCACCTGAAAAAACCTGAACCAGTCCCTCAGGAAATGTGTGGGTGGGACAACGAGCCACTGGTTTTTAACCCAAAGCTCCGTTTTTGCCAGCAAAACCCCAGCCAGCTCATCTGATGCCTTTGGGCAGAGACCTGTCTGCACTCATTGCAGGAGTGAGCCCGCCCCCCCCACCTCTGCAGTCTGGCGAGCCCCAAAACCGGCTCCCCACCCCGGGGGAGGTGAATCCCATCCCCTCCCACCCCGTCCCCTCCCCTCTGCTAAATCAAGCACTGGCTCTTAAGTGCATTAAGCATGTCCAGGCTCCCACCACCCCCGGCCACCTGCGGTCCCCAGCCCCCTGGGGCACAGGCCACTGTCCCCCCATGCGGTCCCCAGCTGGCTGGCAGTGCCAGAGCATGGCTCCCAGCCCAGACACACAGAAAGGCAAGTCCCTAAGGCAGATTTACAGGAGAAGTTTAGCCAGAGAGACGGACAGAAGGACAGACAGACAGCGTCTTGTGGCCTCCTGTCCCCACCACTTTGCATTTCCAACCTATTTCCCTAATTATTCCACCGCTGGCGGGGAGTCATCTCAGTCTCCCCTCTCCGACACACTCTGATTTATCTCTCAGCTGGGCTAAGAGCTCCCCCCCACCCCCTTCTCCTCGGGGAATTCAATTTTCATTCATTTTTCTGCTTTGCCAGATTGATCCAGCCCCCTCTGCCCCGCTCTGGATCACTGGTGGCAGCGGTCAGAGCATCGTGCTGCTGGGAAAGCTGCCACCACGAGTGTCCACTGAAAAAAAAACCAAAACCCACGAGTATCTTCCTCCCTGCTTGGTCTCATCTTGACACATCTTCCCAGTAGAGCCTTCATCCCTTTTCCATCGTTGCAGTATTGCTTTGTCCCCCTCCATCCTTCCTGCCCTCCACCTGTTCCTTGTGTCAGTGGGGTTTTTGGTCTCTTTCAGGTTTGTTTTCCCCAGCACACCCTGGTACCCTGGAATGCCGGGGGGAGAGGGTGGTCGAGGTGGGCATGAGCTACTGGCCCAGCAACCCCCCTTTGTGCCATCTAAGATGCTCCTGGGTCCTGGTGGCACCCAAGGTGGTGGTGGGGGTATTGTGAAGGGTGTGAAATCTCTCCCCCCTCACCCCCAAGCTTTCTCCTCCCAAAGCTAAAACAGGGCTAAGGATCAATCAGTGGTTACCAGCCTGCAAAAGGGTGAATGTCACAATTTTCAGAGGGTTTTATTTCCAGGGCAGTTTTAGGGGGGGGGCTCTGGCCCCACACAGATGCCCCACTCCCTCCTCCACATTGCCTGAACCTCCTCTGGCCCTGAAGCCAGATGAAGACACCAGCAGAGCGACACGATAACGCAAAACCTGCAGAGAAGTGGGGATGGTGCTCCCGGCACCTTCCCTGCTGGTATTAATTAATAATAAAAAAGCAGGTAAACCCCAGAGCCTTTGCTGGGACCTGGACCCAGCCTCCCCTCATGCGTCTCCAGTCCCAGACGCACGGAAACTGGGGACACCGAGGATGATGGGGATGTCAGTGCATCATTCCAAGGTGCCACAGGGGTGTTTCAAGGCGGAATTGGGGGGTTCAAGGAAAACCCACGCCTGGGGGTGTGAGCGCAGCCATGTCCCCCATCAGCAAAGCTTGAGTGGGCTTGGAGCTGCTGGGGAGCTCAGCCAACAGCCAGGCTTCATACAGCCCATGCAGTGAGTTTGCCAGGTCTCAGCCCAGCTTCTGGAGGCCCCTCACAAGATGAAACCAGCTCCCCCTCCCAATTTGGGGGGGCATATCTTTACGGGGCCAAAGCTGTTGTAGCCACCCTTCGGCACGGGGCCACCTCCCCTCCAGGCAGAGCCCCAGGTACACAGCCCACCAGCAGCCCCCCAGTTCTTAATTACCCCAGTAATTACCCGTGACCCCATCCCACATACACCCCCTATTGCCAGGGGTGGCCTGGAGCCAGGACAACCATGGCCAGACCCGGGTACTCACCAGCAGCTGGAGAAAGCCTGTCCCCTCGCAGGCACTGCCGAACGGGGCGTCGCTAATTGTAATTGAAAATTAATCGACGTTAAGAGAACCCCCGGTGATTTTACGGCTTGAGCGTGGGCGGAGGAGAGGGGGATGCTGGTGGAGAAAGACTCTTACCCACACCGAGGAGGGAAAGGGAAGAGGGGCAAGGCAGGAGAGTGCCGAAGGGGTGGGAAGGTGGGTGGGTGTCGGGGGGGGGGCGGCCACCGGCCTCACGGAAAATTAAATTGCACTTGAGGGTAAATTGTATTAGGGAGCAGTGCCTGCCTCACGCCAGCCTCCGGCCATTTGGGTAATTAGCCCTGGGGATGCCTCAGCTCAGGGCCCTGCTGGGGGTAACCCCCATTGGGGAGGGCTGTTGGGGGGCTTGGAGTAGAGCCCCCTCCCAGGATAGCCCGTCCCACCCATGAGCATGGCTATGGCAGAGTTTGATGCCCTCAGCTGTGCCAGGGATGGGGTCACCATTCTGGTGGGGGACACCCCCTTGGGCAGCACAAAGCCCTGCAGCAGCCTCCTGCCTGCACTGGGCCACTTGTGCCCCTGCAGCGGGGCTCCCTGGGGGGTGAGGTGGCGGTGGGGGGGACACAGGGATGGACACCCCGGTGCCACAGCCCGGGAGGATTGGGACTGCACCAAACAGGATTACGGAAAGTCTATTTACTGGACTCTCTTTTTCCTGCGTGCACGGCAGCTTTAGCTCCCCGGCCCTGTAAATCTCCCCAGCGGGGGCCTGTCGGGGATGCTAATCTG